GGGTGGCGCTGGGGGGGGGGGTTGGCGGCGCTCGGGGGGTTTCGGCCTTCAGCTGTTTTCTTTGGAGTAATATGGTCCTCGCCGCTTTACGAGTTGTGCAGGCCTGCTCTAAGGACTGGGCAGGACTCTATATGCCTCTTAATCAGCCAAAGGCACCACTCCCTAGTCTGTGACGCTCCCAGGCCAGGGAATACCAGCACTAATTCTACCTCTCCTTGCCCGCAGCTCCCCTGCAAGGATCTGCTTACCAACCGTGTCTCAGCTCCGGAGGTGTTCTCTTTGACACCTCGTCAGTTCCTCTGCGGGGCAACCTCTCCTTGCAACTTACCCTGTCTCCTTATATGGTGGAACGGGGAGCCAGTTCAGCGAGGGGTATGGGTGGTGGTGGTGGTAGGGGAAAGTGGGGTACAGGGGAGCCCTGCAGAGATGGCATTTCTATGCTGATCTCTTCCCAAAACTGGAGACCACGGGTGACATATTAGTAGCCTCTTGTGTCCATGCTTGCTTGTGCAGCTACACAATGCAGGGCGGGGCTGTTGCATATACACAATGCAGTTGGTTGCTATGCCATCCCGTCGGCCACTCCCAGTTCTGCTCAGCACTGTAATTAATCATCTAACACTAACGCTGCTATAGCATTTGGCTGCACGACTCGGCATCCCGGCCTCATTGTGCTAGGCACTGTATAATCGTGCTCCCTGCCCTGCTCGCTGACAGAACTGAGAAGACAGTGACATGTGAAGGGTGGTGGGGAGGGGGGATACAATGTGGATTGACATTTGCCATTTTGTTTTTGTTATTAGACCGCTCAAGGGCCAGCGATGCCCAGCGACCTCTTAGCCTAGCCTCCGTTACCTGGCTGATTTCTTAGAGGCAGAGGTGGGTGTGCAAGAAGCCCATCATGTTAAAACGTATGTGCTAACAGGGGGATGAGCTGCAAATACAGTAAAGCAGGGCTGCCCTGCCAGAAACTAAACAGGGGGGACTGGCGGGCTCATGGAGCGCATGACACAGCCTTTGACATCTAGCCACCAGTCTGGAGCCAACCCAGATTGATAGCAGCTCTTCGGTGTGAAATGAATTGGGAGGGTCCTGCTGCAGTTCCTCGCAGGCAGGCGTCCCCCATCAGGAAAACCACCCTCGCGTTTGGTCCTAATTAGCCATGGGACTGAATTCACTTCCCACCTCCGAATGCAGATTTCTGCCGCTCAGGGCAGAGACGATTTCCTGTGATGGCATCTGGGGGAAGTTTGCGCTGCTGTAGCTGTTCTGCACTCACAGAGGACGGCAGCGCACAGAGCAGCTAGACTGGCATCTCCCCCCAGCACATGCTCCCCATCCAAACATCACACGCTGATGGAAAGAAAGCTCGGACGTTCCAGAAGGGAAAGGGGAAGCCAGACCCTAAGAGTGCTACCGTGGTGAAACTGACAAAGCTGTCAGTCCCGGGGAAGAGATGATAGAGGCCTCCTGGGGAGCAGAGAGAGGATCTGGCATGGCAGGAGGATGCTCTTAGCTGAAGAGACAGGACGATGCTTGGGGGAGGGGGAGGCTCTGAAACATGGGGCCTAGAGAGATGAGCGGATGGTATTTATCTCAGCAGCGACTCACACAGTCAAATCACCTGGGTTCTGCTCTCCAATTACACTCCAGAGATGCTGCTGAGCAATCCAAGGCCCACAGTGTCTGACTCACAAGGGCCTCTGCTGGCAATAGGGCAATCACTGGGGCCCAGGAATCATAGCCAGGCATAGTGCTGCCTCTTGCTGCCCTGCCAGTACCTGTGGATCCTGTCCCAGAGGGGTTGGGGGTAACTTCGGAGACCATTAGCAACAGTCTTCTCAGGAGAAGCTAATACGAGAGAGACCAGAGCACACTGACAAACCTGGGTCATGTTTGAGAAAGGGGTCAGGATTGGGGCTTTTTTTCCCCCCATTGAAAAGGGAAGAAGCAGCTAGGGTCTTTGGCCACAGCACAAAGTAAATCCAACAATCAGTGTATTGCTAAACCCCCATCACTCCTCTTAAGCTGCTGTGAAAAGGCACTGGAAGATAGTGATGTATTTTTATCTGTGAGGGCACCCTCCCCTCAACAGATAGGTGAACAGATAGGTGCATTACGGCAGGCCTGGGTGCATACAATAGGTGCAGGTAGAAAACCAACATTACTTTCATCCATCTGTGGAGCTCGCAGCACTTTATAGATGCTAATTAACCAAGCCTCGCAATCCCCATAGGAAGCATCATTAATCCCAGTTTGCAGATGGGGAAACTGAGGCTCGTGGAGAGGAGGGGACTTTTCCCAGGTGACGGAGACCTTGCTAAAATCACACGGAAGATTTTTGTGGCATGGCGGTGAGTGTCCCTCCTACGTTAGCAGTTCCTCCGGCGCTAGCACCAGCGTGCAGCAATGTTAGTAGAAGAAGGATACATGATTTTGGGATGTAGACACACATTTTGTGAGAGTCAGAAACAAGACCAAGGAGTCCAAGTCCTCTGCTTTACCCACAGGACTTGAAAGTGCAGGATCTTGATGGTTTACTGCATGGTCTGGACAATTTACACCCATTACACAGCCATGCTCCTGCCTGTGGGGAATGTCACAGGAAGAGAGCCGCATTGCACCATTATTCAACTGGGGCAGCCACTGGAGGTGTGGCTGTTATGCCGGATATGGGCCAGATCTAAAGCCCATTGAAGTAGATTGAAGACTTTTCCTTGGCTTCGGATCAGGCTCAAATTGAGCAAATAGGAGAAGAGTGAAAATCGCACACCCTGGCTACAAGTTTGTGTGGATTCTGGACTCTGATACTCACAACCTCCAATTTGAAAAAGATTATTAAATATAATACACACATACACACACACAGCTGAATTTACTCCATGCCTTTAAAAAGGGGAGTTGCCACTATCAGGAGCCCCAGTCTGTTCTGCAAATGGATCTCAAGTAAAAACAGCGAAGTGATTAAAAGAATGTAGAAGTTTACAAATTTTTAGAAGTTATTTGAAAGAAAAAAAGGTGTGGAAGCCATCTAGTACTTCCCTACAATAACAAACCAGTGAGTGCAGCCTGACCCTCTTGAGCAACCCTGCAATAACAAACCAGTGAGTGCAGCCTGACCCTTTTGAACAACTCTACACAAACCTGCATTCATGATGGGGAGAGAGCACAGAAGCACAGGAATTGCTGGTCAGATTTGTGGTCCACCTAGTCCAGTGCCCTGCCTCTGACAGTGGCTAGTACTGGAGGCTACAGAGGAAGGGGTGAGAAACAATGCAGTGGGGCAGTTATGGGATAACCTGATCTCCAGGGAAACCTAACCCCTAATAGTTAGAGGCTGTTTTGTGCTCTGAACCATAAATGGTTTATATCCTAAACAAAACCGTAGCTCACATGGAACCATTTAGAACCCTCCACATAGGTCAGCAGTAGGGCTTGGGTGCAGATCTTTAGATCCACAGCATGGGACGTGAGTTAAAGGAGTAACTGATAAAAATCCATCAAGGACTTAGATTGGAGTTTCAAGCCCCAGAGGGATTGTTTGGAGAAACAGTGAGTAGTTTGTTCTTTTTTTTTTTTTTTTTGGAATCATGGTTCCCTCACTATCCAACGTAATAGTTACTTTATTTGATTGAACCTTTGTCCTGTTTTCCCTATCCTCCTCCCATTTCTACCTTCATGTTTGATGTCTGTCTAATTCAGACTGGGCATTCTCAGGGTCAAGACCACGTTTCTTTAGGTAGCCTGAAAATGCCGTACCAAGTACTGGCATGATGTCAGGTTTCCTAAGAAGAAGAAATAGTTTCACTGATACCAAAATACCCATTGCCTGTTTAACATCTCTGCTGGCCCTGCATTCAGAAGCATACCTGAGATCAACCCACTTCATGCACTGGAGAAAGGGGTACCATAATCACAGACCAAGCTGAATGATACAGAACCAAATGTATTCACATTTCTCTCCTTTAAGCAAAATAAGCATATATAGATATATAATTTATATATAAAGAGAATTTAAATCACATGGCAGCCATCAAGTTAACCTCTGTTTCTTTTAATTAGGTCTCAAATCTCCCATCGCTTTGAACAATCGGTACAAAGCACCTAAAAATGTCCCGTTTGGAGTAATGGTGATTCTATCTGGTGGCACTGTGCACCCATCGCTGCTAGAATTAAACAGCGGGCACGTCATAGTTCCTTAGCAGAAGAGTTGAAATCTGGGTAAGAGGAACTGATCAAACATACATTTGTCCCTTAAAGCAAATGAAATGAAAACCACAATAAACAGCTAAGGAAGGGGAGAGGTGGGGGACAGACAAACCAACCCACTTCAAGGATTTCCTTGAAGATAGAAGATCTCACCCAATACTGATACTAAAGGAAAGTAAAATTCACACAGAACACATACTTGCAGGTGATCCAGACATTATGGTGTGAGCAGCCAAAAAATTGAAGTATAAAAGTCCACACAAAACAGACTGAAAATAGCATGATCTGGAACATCCTGTAAGTGTTGGGTCTTTTTTTTTTTTTTTTTTTTTTTAAATCAGGGTCACTCATGCTTTCAGCCCCTGGTGAAGTAAATCAATTGTGCACGGACATTTTTTTCTCCTGAGGAGCAAGCAACTCAAGCGAATTTTTAATCCATGCAAAACCCCCAACACGTTACCGTCGGTTACACAGCATGATCACATTGCTTTTACAAACGAAAAAACAGAACGGAAAAAAAATGAAAAAAATTAAATCCATATTTTTTCTTTGTTGTTGTTGTTGTTGTTGTTGTAAAAATTACATAAAAACCAACCAACCGAAAAAAGAAAACGGAAAAAAGAAAAGAAAAGAAAACACAGATATTAAAGGAAAAAACAAACAAAAAAAAAAAACGAACAATAACAACCCAAAAAAAAAAAAACTAACCAGCTGAATTGGGAGTTGAGGGTGAGTTAGCTTGGCTTCCATGGGCTGACACATTTGTAGCAGTGACAGCCGTTTTGGCAGCATAAATATTGGCTTCCTCTTGAAATTTACCTATGTTCTTCTTGTACCGGATTCGCTTATTTCCAAACCAGTTTGATACCTAGAGCGAGTTCAAGAAAAGACAAAAAAGTTAACGTTTCACCTTTAACACATTTTGGTGGGGACACGGGGGAGGATTAGGAATGGGGAATAAAGCAAGTTAAAGCATTGCAGTTTTTTCTAAAAGCTTTGCAAGGAAAAGATTCCACCTGCTGACTCCATCCCAACCCCGGTGACCCCCAGAGCAGTATAAAGTCAATAACATCAACGCAGAGGCGAGCAGATGCCTGTTCTTTCAACTTCCATTAAGGGCACATTGTCAAGATAACAATATTGCCAACCCCTAGCATTCCACAATCACGAGACAGGTTCCAAAAATCAAGAGACTGGTTTAAAAATCATGAGGTTTAAAATAAATCGGGGTGGGGGGCCTTAATTTCCCTTCTGGGATTTGAGCCTCTAGGGTGCACGCAGGTCATGTTTTAAAGCTTTTCTCTGCCACTATGAGGGCTATAAGCTTACTTACAAAAGCTGAGATTCTCCCGTAATCACAGGACTCCAGGAGCTGTCTTTTAATGGGAGCCTAGCTCCCACTTGTGCCTTTGAATACTCCCCCGAGACCATTATTAAATGTGTTAGGATTTTAAAAATCTAATTTGATTTCCACTCAAGCTTGGGTCAGCCAAACTAGCCTGGTCAGTTTCACTTCCTGGTTCTCAAGGCTGCTGGGTTCAGGGTCCCTGCACTGAAGAGAAAGATTTTCATTTTTTAAATAAACCGTTTCAGCTGAATGATCTAGGTACCCAGGAAACTCTTCTGTTCTGATTTGATTGTGTAAACTCCAGTGCCTGGCTCCTGTAAACAAAATGAAACCTTGTGCCTAAAACTAAGCTGTCGGTGTCCCTTTCATGAGAATGCCAGTCCCATGCACTAGGAAGCTATGATTCCCCCCCAGACACACACTCAAACACGCCCTGGTTTAATGCTCTCTCCATCACAGTAGCATGTGCTGCTTTTTGGAGCACGTTCCAGAAGAATTTACAGGTACAGCTGCTGCATTGGTTACTCTGGTCTGGTCCACACACACAGTTTTACCAATATAACTCAAGGTTTAGCTAAATCAGGGCAAAACCTGTATGGACACTCTTAGTCCAATTTAAACCTGGTTTATACCAGTTGAGCTTGCATCAGTTAATAAACTGGTGCAACTTGTGTGTGTAGACCAGGCTTCCAATGGAAGGTGACAGAAAATGGGATTGTTAGGGGCTTTGCTGTCCGCTTCTTTTGGTTCGGATTTCAATCGGTGCCCCATTTCATGACACTGCCAGGTGGTCGCAATCCCAAGCTGTCAGCTCAGATCATGCATCCCCAACCCAGATGCAGAGGTGGGAAAGTTTGCAAGGGCAGCCATCAATGGAGGTGTTTCAACAGAACTTTGCAGAGTCTGCTGCATGCATGGCGCCTCGACTGTCTACAGATTTTCAGAATGAGACAGGTTGAACTATGATTTATAAATACAGACTGAACTTCTTCAGAAGTAATTAAGGAAATGGAAAACTATGGGCCAGATCAGTGGCTGGCGTAAATTGGTGGAGCTCCATTGATGTCGACATCATTTGAGGATCTGGCCCTATGCAATGAATCAGTCTCAGAGAGCACCATGGAGAGATATTAACAGCTAGGCTCTAATTGATTAATTGCAATTAGTCTCCATTGAGGATTTTAAAGAACGTAGCTTTGAGTCAATTGCATAAAGATTTGTGGTGGGCAACCCCCAAAAGGTCTGGATAAGCACCTGAAAGTTTAGAGTCTGGATGTTCATCTGAAATATACGAAATTCTTGAGTTGGCAAAATCGGGCTGCATTTCTCACTAAAACAAGCTCTCTGAAAGTTTTTGATACTTTCTGGTGTGTCTCAAACCTGGCACATGCAGTCCCATTTGGAACCAGGCAGCATTATTAACAATAGTCTCTCTCCTCACTTACACTGTGTGTTGCACCCATCAACCTCAAAGCACTTTATAAAAGCAGGCAAGTATCATTCTCATTGGACAAACGGGGAAACTGCAGCAGAGAAAGGTGTCATACCACAAGTCAGTGGTAATGCTGGGAACAGTACCCAGATCTCTCGACTTCCCTTCTGGTGCCATCTGTGAAACCAGCACTAAGGGTAACCACAGATATGGAACTGAAACTGGCACAGAACTTTTTAAAATATTGGAAAGATTTGGGCTTGAGTTTTGGAAGTAGATTTTGGGTGTCTTCTAGTTTTATCTGGAGTTCTCCCTCTGTTTTTAGAGAAAGGTCAGTCGTGGCAAAAATCAATAGGTTCCCAAAGGACTGTTCAAAACAGGTCTGGAATGAAACCAGACTGTGTTTTTTGAAGGCTGAAAGTCCATTGACATGGTGTCTTTGTCACTGGATTTACCACCGGTTGTGCTACCAAAAGAGGATGGGGACCTAATCAGACATGTCCCCATCCCCTTATTATATCAATGACATTCCCTATTTCCAGATCTTTAATGGATCACTATGAAGGTTGCAGGGTGCAATCCTCATGGATGTGTATATTGAGACTTATCTGCATAGTTAAAAGATTCAGGAAAGGTCTGAGCAACTTGGGTCTACAATCTTGAGCATGAACTCTCTGGAGAGCAGGCTCTCTTCTAGAGTTCTGGACTTCCTTTTCCTTCCAATTGCGTGCCATGGAGCTGGGACTCTTGGCATTTTGGTGCTTCCACTTCCAGATGGAGCCCAAGAGTGCGGAGGCCATGGCAGGAATAACGGGAGCTTGGGATGGAGGGAAAGTTGGCTGAATTTGTTCTCATCTCAGGAGAGGTTCCTGGTTTGGGGTTGAAGGTCTGAGGATGGTGATAGGAGGCTTCTGATTTAATCCACACGGGGTGGCTCATCCGTATCAAGTCCCAACAGCAGGGTCAACAGACACAGAGCTGCTAGGGTCAGCTGTAAGCTCCCCTTTTATGGGAGCTTGTTTCTGGAAGCTCAGTGAGCATGGCCAGACCGTCCTCTCAGTATGCCCCCAAAATAATCCCTCTTCCTCTGGCCTGGAGCACTCTCCCTGCCATGCCATATTTGTTGGCGTTGGTGGAGCGCCCCTCGGCTTCCCAGAAACAGAAGTGCTTCAATATGCCGGACTAGACAGACACAGACAGGCCCCCAAGTGCCTTCTGCTGTACTTGCTCTCAGCAATTTCTTGGGACCTACCTGCCCTCATGAATCAGGCATAGTTATGTTTAACTATGGGGTGAACGGGAGTGGGGATAGGCCACTGTTCAGAAAGTGATAAGCACCACCCTCTGAAAATCAAGTGCCCTAGAGAAAGGTCCTTCTAGTGAACCTTCTAGTTGGAAACCCAAAATCACTCATCACTATTGAACATTTTGGCCTCACTTTTCGAAACCATGGCCATCTTGTACAGGATTTCCCCAGACAAGTCCATCTGCGTTGGCACCCTGCCTTCTGAGTACATCAGTTCAAGCTATTGAACCATCTAGCCAGGAATCCTATTTTATGTTAACCAGATCAGATCTGTGGCCCATCTAATCTGGTATCCTGCCTCTATGCATAAACCCATTACTGGAAAAGTCCAATATTCCATCTACTTTGGTATGTCACCTCCTAGACCAGTTAGCCAGTCTTCTGTAGGCTAGTCCTGTCCCTTAGGTTGCTACTCTGAATTTTATTATGGAGATACAGCTGACACTTTTGTCTCGTTCTAAATGCTGGATATTGGTCACTGGTATCCAGCTAGTGTTTTGCACTCACTGAAAAACTGCTGCTTGTTTCACTGCATGGAAAACAGAAAAATAATCCCTCCTGTTTTCTACGATGCCTTCCATCTGCAGGGATCCCAGTGCTTGATAAACTTTGCACAGAAATCCCCTGGCACACCATTGCAATGAGGCTACCTCCGGAGGGGATGGCAGCAGCTATTTAACAATGCACAGTAACACTGCACTGGAAGAGAAAAACGTATCCAGCTGAGACTGAGGGGTGAATTTCAGAAGGCAGAATTTAACTACTGAGATTATAAATTGGCCATGAGATGGGAGTTAACAGCCCAACTCTTGCAAAAAGGGTCACTGCACCGCACCTTTAATAACCTCCAGCTGTCAGGAACGCTTCCCCTTCTGAGTCAGAGGGAAGAGAGCCAATGATTGGTTCATTGACACCCCTTTCAGCAAGATCCAGGCTTTCTTTTGAGGCCTGACATTGAAGTTACGGAAATGGGATGTCTTGCTAAAAAGGCTCACTCAGAAGATAAGGGCTTGATGCAGAAATCACTGGGTGAGGTTCAGCCTGTGTCACGCAGGAGGTCAGACTAGATGATCACAATGGTCCTTTCTGGTTTTACAATCTATGAACCTAGGAGCTAAGGTAATTGTGTTTGCTTTGCGAGAGCTGAGAGGAGCACAGCCCAAGGCAGCATGAACTGAGGCAGTTACAGTGCAGGGAGATTATGTGTCTTCACGTAGTTTCCAAAGGGGTATTCCATTGACCTGGTGCGGATAAGCACTCAACTTATCTGTACCGCTTTGGCCTGAAAAACCATGCGGGGATGGAAATCCTTAGGAGAGCAGCAATGTTTCCTTATTTCAGTTTGCTCAGAAAGATCACAAGAACAGTTTTTCTCCTGGAAATTGGCTCTTTCTGCTCCAGGCACTAGGGAGTGCAGAGATGGCATGCAAATTACAAAGAAGTTAATGGAACTTTGTTGGATCCCATAAAAACATCCAGGGTCAATTCAAAGTTCAGGATGAAACACCAGGACAGTGCTTGGTTTATTAGAACCAGCGTGCCCCATTTCCCATGTGTAACCTTGGGATGGACTGATGGTCATTTGGGTCTTCTAATGTAGATGATATGGTTGTTGATTGGAGGTCACTACATTGAGCATTTAAGGAGCAATTAGCAAGATTCCCTCAGGATTACAGATGACTACAGTCTCCAGTTTGATGTTGTTCCTTCCAGAGAAACTGAACAGCCACTCTGGGTGGGGATCTGGCCCCAGTTACTGTTGTCATCTTCATGTGAACGTGTGACCCAAATGACACCACAAACCTGTCTGTGAACATGAGGGAGCACAAGATGGCGGACTCCCAGAAAGCATGTGGATTGGCTGTGGGCAAGAATACAAGAGGGCATGCTGATTGGTTCCAGACTTTTCAGCCTCTGGCAGCCAAATGCAGTAGGAGGAACAGGGCGGGGATGGAGGGAAGGAAGGGGCTGAGAATAATTGACAACCAAGAACGTGGCGGTTGCAAATTAGATGCTCAACTGCTCTGCTCAAGCCTTGCATCAGCATTCCGGTCAATGCTATACGCTCCAGGGGCACAGAGGCTATTCACCTGCCCCTTTAATTACATGGGCACACCTTGGGGTGTAGCTAGTGAATATCCTGTTTCTATACAAAAATTGCATGTGTCAGCAGATGAGAGAGGCATTGCATTCAGCAAATACAAGAGTAATTACCCTCTATGCCTTTAGACGGAAAGAAACAACCCTGCAAATCCACCCCCCCATCCGCAGCCATGAGACCCTCACACCAGAAACCCCACTCTAGCCACGGCCTCCTTCCTGGTCCTTGCTCACACAGCTCCAGCAAGTAAACCCCTGCCAAGCCCCACGTGTGTTTGTTGGTTGTTCAGTAGCTTGTGAGGCCAGGCACTGGCCAAACATAGCACTTGCCCCAGAAATCTCTTGGTCGCCTTGCTCAGCTCTCACTTTGCCCCCCCGGCATGCACCCCTCAACCTCTACTGCTTAAATTCCACATCAGCTCTACTCTGCAATGTCCCAGCCAGCCCCTGCCATGTCCATCTCCATCCCTTCCAGGTGATTGCCCTAATACTTCCCCTCCCAATCAACCCTTCTTCCTCAATGGGCCTTGTTCCCCATTGTTCCATGCAGCCTCCAATTATTCTCTTGCTACCAATCTAGCACTCACCCTACAATTCACCCACCACCGCTGTGGAGATCAGTAAAGAGACGCTTGCCTGGTTATTTGTGCCCTGATGAAAAAACGTGAGGCCGTTATTTTGGTGCCACTCCCTTTGCCCGTCCCCTTACCTGTGAGACTGTGATGCCGCACTTCTTGGCTAGCTCTTCTTTGGCTTCCTCACTAGGGTAAGGGTTGCTGAGATGGGAATAGAAATACTCATTCAGGATTTCCGTAGCCTGCTTGTTGAAGTTTCGTCTCTTCCGCCTTGGCAAGGAGAAAATGGAACAGAATCAGGGCCAAGGCTCCAGAAAGAGGGAAAACGCTCTGGGGGTGGGAATCATATTTTGCAGTTCCATGGTGCCTCTTGCCTCTCCATTGCAAAGTACTTTGCAAACCTCCTCTACTCAAACTTTGCAACACCTTGCGAGGGAAGCTCTGGACCCACCTGGCCTCTGACCTGCCTCCCCCCGGCCAGTGCCCTGATTAGAAGGTTGGTCCCCAGGCGGGCTGGTGAAGGAGACTGCATGACAGGGTAGTCAGGGTGGGCTGGGGATTTGATCCACTTGCGTCTCAAACCACATTAGCCCGTCTGTTCTGGTCCCTTGCCTTCATACTGGATCAGATCCATTGGTTGTCCCACCTCTGCCAGACCAGAGCAGATCTTTGCAGTGTCTGCTCTGTCTAAAGGCCAACATGAGATATGAGACACCCACCCTTCCCACCCCTGCCAAAGCATTTTCTCTCAGGCGGGAGACGGGAGAACTAACCGCGCATCTAGAAATCGGGAGCGCAGGATCATGACGGCTTCGCACGTGCTCTGCTTGAGCTGCATCTGGATGGAGCTGAATTTGCGGTGGATGATGCTGACCATCCGCTCAATCTCCTTTGGTGAGATGGGCCGGGTCCGGCTCTGCTCGCGCAGGAGGTTCATCACGTGGGTGGTGAATTCGTTGCATGCCTGGGACGGCAAGAAAAACAAAAGAAACCCCGGGATCGGAGGGTCATTCGGCCGTGTTCAAGACTATATGGTGCCAGCACAGCCAGATAAGGACACCAGCCCAGGGCCCCCACGGAGCAGCACAGCAACCAGCTGAGATCTAACCACCTAGCCACAACCTGACACCGCACCCGTTTCCATAGTGTCGGACCACTTCCCCTTTCCACGGTGGGGATCAAGCTGCCTGCAACTTCAGCCCTGAGTCGGTGGTGAGGGTTTCTAAAGGAAAGAGCCTTAAAATGGGCCAGGGAGGAGACGAAACTGGGCCCAACCCTTCAGAGTATCCCTAGCGGCCAGACGGAGAGGACCTGTTGGGTCATTTAGAGTTTGATTCACAGCCCATTGAGAACCTGAGGGAAAGACTCTCACTGATTTCAATGGGCTTTGGATCAGGCCCCTCGTCCACTCGCCAGCTTGTGCGGGATTATTCCCTTATTTTTTTTTTTAGTGTTTTGTCCAGTCTAGGATTTTAAAATGACCCAAGTAGTGGAGCTTCCACCTTAAGAGGACTATAACAGTCTCTCACCTCTACACCATCTCCCTGCTGCTTAACCGCCATTGTCCTCTGCTCGCTTCCATCCCGGAACCCTGGGTCCTCCTTGGATCACTCTAACCAAGCCCTCTCCTTCCTGAGTGCTCCCATCCTTCTACCAGCGGCAGACAGTCACAGTAGGCCCTTCCCTTCATCATGGCTGCACACGGTCAGCTTTTAACCCTTCTTCAGTTTAGGAGCCCTCCTGCCCCTGGATCTATGTGGCTGCCCTTTCCTCAGCTTCCTCCCATTCCTCTGTATCTGTCTGGTGATGGGCTGCCCGCCAGGGAAACAGATTAAGTGAGAAACAGGCGAAAAACATCCAGCAATAAACTGCGCAGCCAGTATCTGAGACAGTGATTGGGAGTCACTGCACAGAATCCAGAACAGAACGGATGGTTGGGCAGAGGCCTTAGGAGCTTTAAGAGGGATCAGAAAGGAAGGATGGTCCAGTGGGTTGGGTGTTAGGCTGTGACTCTGGAGACCTGGGTTCAAGTATCTCTTCTGCCACAGGCTCCCTGTGTGGCCTCAGGCAAATCAGTTAGTTGCTCTGTGCCTCAGTTTCCCCATCTGTAACAGAGTTAATAGAACTTCCCTACCTCGCAGCGGTGTTGTGAGGATAAATACAGTAGGTGCTCAGACACTATGAAGGTGGGAAGCCACATAATCCATATCTGGCCCAAACCCTTCTCTCTAATCTTTAGAACAGGCCCCGATTAACACATATTGGTACTTCACTTTGAAGATGCAAGAGTTCTGTAAATGTTAATTACTATTACTGCTGATCCTCACACCAGGTCTGGGAATGGGTGTAGGACTGTGCACACCTAGGGGGGAAGGGGTTCAAAGCTGCAGGGGGGGAAAGGGAGAAGAACTGTCCCACTCTGAATGCCTAAGGAAGGGAAAGGAAGAGTCTTCCATTGGGGGTCATTAGGACAGAGATATAGGGAACGAGGAGGCCAGGCTAGGCTGGCTCTCCATAGGGAGAGGAAAAAGTTCTCTCTCCTGCCTTGCAGAGAATGGGCTTTTGGGGGTAGGCTGCCGAACCCAAACTGAGCAGGCGAGGAGGAGTTGATGCTGTTTCCTTGGTGCTGGGGGAATGGGAAGAGCTGGGCTGCATAAAGCCTTTTGTTTGGGACAAAGGCTGAAAACCCCCGCTACCCCCTATTACTTTTGCTTTGGGATTGGCTGGAGGAGCCAGAAAAATATAGGATTTGTCACATCAGATCAGAACCACGGTCCTTTCAATCTGGTAGCCATACTGGTCCCTTCATCCCTGACATACTGGATCAGACCAACATCTCGACCAGTCTGGTATCCCTCCTCCTTCCATTTGCAGGGAGGCCAACAGTCTGAGTATACTGGCCTGCGATCCTGCTGAAGTACCCAGTGCCTCATGAGACCAGCTCTCCCATAATGCACGTGGTCTGCTGTGCAATGGGGTGCCTGGGAGCTGCCAACTCCTTGATTTAAGCCCACCCAGGATCAGCTGCTGTTATGATGCACGTGAGGTGGCCTGTCCTAACTCTGTGTGTGCTACAGATGTTACTTATGGATGGTCCCAGGTCTCGGAGCGCTTGCCCCTCAGGCGGGGGGAGAGAGGTGCCAAAGGACAGGATGGTGGGAGTGGGCCAGAAGCAAGTGTGGGAAGCAGCGGCTGCTGGTGGCTCAAACGCACCTTGGGCTGCCGACACGGGGAACGGTTAATTCTGCAGGCATGCAGGTCCCAGAGAGAGGGGGAGGAGTCAGAGCCCCCCAAACGACCCACATCAAGTGGCTGCGAGCACTGAGGTGACACAGTGCTGTAGGTTTCCAGCACATCCGATAACAAGTCAATAATGATAATAATTAAAGCAGCGCAGGCAGCGCGAGACAGGCGCCCTGACATGAAAGGGCAAGCAGGTAATCACTGGAATTAGTGTGCTGACGGCACAGCACCGCCCCGCTGCGCGTGCTCCCACCACCCGTGGTCCCCCGCTCCTCTCATGCCCACGGGGGATGTTTGTTTTTAATACATTTTCTCAGTCTGCTGCATCAGATGCTGGATGCTGGCAGGTCCGTGCAGCCAGGGGCTGCTGGGCCAGAGGGAAAGCAAACTACTTAGCAACACAGATGACAGCCCGGCTCTGAAAAGGAGGCGACCTGCAAAGATGAAGAGGAAAAGCAACGAGTTGCTCAAGAACTTCACTGCTCTGTGCTGAAAGCAGGGCTGGCTGGGCTGGGCTTCACACCTTGGGGCCCCCGGACAGCCACGCAACGCACCCAGAGCAGTGCCCCCGCTTCACACGGGGCAAGTTGCTGCTCTCTCTCCCCAGACCCATCCGAACGGGGTAGCTCACTGCCCTTGTGGCACCCGGGGCCCTGCTCTTGCTGGGACTTGTAAATCATAAGGGTAGTCTTGGAGCAACTGCCCCAGAAGCCAGAACTCTCCGGCACTCGGGAGATGCTGTGAAGGGGAGGCTACTACTGTGACAATCACCTGATTCACAGAACTGTAGAAATGTCAGGCTGGAAGGGACCTCGAGAGGTCATCAGGTCCAGCCTTCAGCACTGAGGCAGGACCCAAGTCTACCTAGACCATCCCTGACAGGTGTATGTCCAGCCTGCTCTTAAAAACCTCCAGTGACGAGGATTTCACAGCCTACCTTGCAAGCCTGTTCTGGAGCTTAACTCCCCTTAGAGACAGAAACCTGGTACCTACTATCTAACCTGAATCTCCCTTGCCGCAGATGAAGCCCATTCCTTCTTATCCTACCTGCAGTGGATATGGAGAACAATTGATCCCCATTCTCTCTCTAACAGCCCCTAACACATTTGAAGACTGTTCTAGGGTCCCCCCGTAGTCTTCTTTTCCCAAGACTAAACAGGGCCAGTCTTTTTAACCTTCCTCAAGGGTCAGGGTTTCGAACCCTTTGATCATTTTTGTTGCTCTCCTCTGGACTCCCTCCACCCTGTCCACATCTTTCCTCAAGTGTGGCGCCCAGAGCTGGACACACTACTCCAGCTGAGGCCTCACCAGGATGGGGAAGGTGTTCTCAGAGAACTCCGCAGTTCCCTTCTTTCTGAGCTTGTGTACGCTCGGACTGTGTCTTCCTTAGGAGGGTAGAAGGTAACCTGGGGCACAACCTGTATATGGTGTAAAACAGCCCCTCACCCTTTCACAGACTGACATTTATACGGGAGAACCCAAGGGTTTGGGTTCAATCCCCTGAGTTGAAGACATCATTTCAATTGCTTCTCCCCTTCTGTTCTTAATGGAGTGTGGATCCTCCACTCCCCTTGCTGTCCCATCATCCCATGATGCTCTAAAGACATCAACTGTAGCTAACTACCCAGTAGATACAGCTAGTTGGTCAGAGCCCTTGTGAAGGTGACTGTACAGCAGAACCACTGGCCCCTATACAATCCACGTAAGTGAAACCTCTCTCGTCTGAGAGGTCTGCTATACCCCCTCCTGGCTGTTTACCTAGGTGCTGAAAGAGCCAGCCCCGTGCTTACAGACTCCAAGTAGTTTCAGCCTGCCTCATCTTCACATGCAAAAGAACATTATAGACCAGGGGTCGGCAACCATTCAGAAGTGGTGTGCCGAGTCTTCATTTATTCACTCTAATTTAAGGTTTCGCGTGCCAGTAATACATTTTAACGTTTTTAGAAGGTCTCTTTCTATAAGTCTATAATATATAACTAAACTATTGTTGTATGTAAAGTAAATAAGGTTTCAAAATGTTTAAGAAGCTTCATTTAAAATTAAATTAAAATGCAGAGCCCCCTGGACCGGTGGCCAGGACCCGGGCAGTGTGAGTGCCACTAAAGATCAGTTCGTGTGCCGCCTTCGGCACGTGTGCCATAGGTTGCCTACCCCTGTTATAGACAAAACTGCAGGGAAAAGCTGTGTCGAGTCACAGCAACATCAGGCCCTGAGGTGAAGCCAGACACTGGACCTGTCCCAGCTAGCTCCTGTGTCCTGGGGCCAGCTTCCCTGCCGGCAGGACAGCTGTGACCTGGAAGGGACATCTACCCCACACCTTAGGCTCACGCGACCAGCCACATGCGTGATTTCAGGTTAGCGCAAACTGATGCGGTCGGGATGCAATGGTCACAAACCACATTCAGCCGTCAAGAGAAGAAATCAAAGCATTTGGAGCTGAGCAGCCGCACTAGCCTGCCTAAAGCGCAGCTGCTTCTCCAAGCCCTGTCTGAATGTGGAAACCTCTCAGCAGGCCTCACAATTCTCCCCCACAAAAGCCCTGGATCCTCTCAACTTACGGTCTCCTTGGGGAGACACTCAGTAGGTCCTCTGACGGCCCTTCCAGCATCCCCTTGGGGCTTGTCACCTCTCTCCGCACTCCCACAGGGTGTGTAGGGCACTGAAATTGACAGGCTGCAGATGGATCCAATCACCTGCTGCACCATCTTGAACTGGGCTGAATTCTCTACGGCCACCAGTGCCGGCAGCCTGAGGATCTCTGGAAAGGGCTGCCTGAGCCCTGCCCCTGATCCCGAGGGGGGAACTGGAGAGGGAAAGCTGTCCTGATTCTCTGGCCCAGAGAGATGGCAGCTTGGTGGGTCCCAGGACGCAGCAGGGAAGATCAAGACAGTCCTGGCCAAGGTGCCCTTCTCACTATCCCTTTCCATGCCATTTCGAGAGCAAAGGTGGAACAATGTCAGGGCTCTTTGCAGATGGAAAGTCATGATAGTGACATTACGGCAGAACCCAGTATCCAGAGGTCTTAGGAGACATTCTGAAAAGGCCAGACAGCCAGGGAACCTGGCCAGCAGGCTTTGATGTCCGAGCTTCAGGTCCTCTGCCCCAACTCGGACTCATGGCTCCCCTGTCAACAGCTGCCTGGGCTCCCCACAGCCACCTCAGCAGAAGGACAGGAAGCTGTATGGCAGGGATTCACTGCCCAAGTCTTTATCCACTAATCAGACTCCGGCACAACGCCAGGTGGATCAGGCAAGCCCTGCATGGCCGGCGGAGGGGGGTAATCAGGCAAGCCCTGCGCAGGGGTGCTGTGAGTCATTAGCAGAACAGATAATTGAACCTAGGTCTTCTGAGGCCCAAGCTAAGGCCCTAACCACTGGACCAGCCTTCTTCTTTCCTTTTACTCCTAAGAGGGGGTGAATATTTTTTGGTCAAGCTTAAAAACCAAACAATCCCCTTTACCCAAGCCTGGGGGAGGGATAGCTCAGTCCTTTGAGCATTGGCCTGCTAAACCCAGGGTTGTGAGTTCAATCCTTGAGGGGACCACTTAGGGATCTGGGGCAAAATCAGTATTTGGTCCTGCTAGTGAAGGCAGGGGGCTGGACTTAATGATGGTTCAGGGTCCCTTCCAGTTCTATGAGATAGATATATCTCCATAACTATAAAGCCTGTCATAGGAGCTGGTTGAAAAGTGGCAGAATGAGTTTGCAAAAAAAAATCTCAGAGTTTGAAATGGCCCAGTTTTGCCTTCGTCGCAAAGTTTTCCAGGGTTGCTTTCAATGAATTTATCAAAATTTTGATCAAAATCCTTAGGTAAAAAGCCAGGTTTTCTTACTGAAAATGGGCTTTTCAGTAAACGAAGCATTTCTCGAATGATTCTGATTCAAATGCTGACACTATTTTGATAACAAAACATGGATTAAAACAATGCATCATGGAAAATTTTGCAAAAAACCAAACCAAACCCCAGACTGTTTTTGACACCAACAATTTTTTGCAAATGAATAAATAAATAATAACAAATTAATAATAAAATAATAATAATAATAATTAGTTTTTTCTTCTAATGAAAAAAAAAAACTGTGCAAAAATGTTGACCAGCTCCCCATGTCGGATTTCAGCCTGAACAGTGGATGTCTCAGGAAGTTCTGAGCTACAGGGGTGTGTAACAGCTATGCTCATGCCACCTTGACAATAGATGTCACTAGCGCTCCAGCCCATATACACACAGCCATGCTGGCTTGGCGTATAGAATTGTGTGTAGGTAACATACCGATTCTCTTATCGGCTCCATTTTCTGTTGCATTATCTTCCCTCTGCTGTATGGGCAGATTATCCCTTGAATGGGTTTATTTCCTTGATCAGAGCTTCATTTAAACCCTGCCTTTGCTTTGGCCGGGAGAGGGGGAAGCCTCTGCTTAGCCTCCGCGAATGAGCCTGTTACCTGTTCATATTTCTCCAGCTCCGTGTGGTAGATCTGTCGGATCTGCGAGAGTTTAGCTCTGTAGTCAGAATGCTCCACGGAATTGTCTGAGCCAGCCCCTCCGGATGCTGCTGCTGCGGCCGCAGCCGCCGCCGATCCTCCTCCTTTCTCAGGCCCTGCCACGCCCTCTGCCAACAGCATGTTGTCCAGTCGCATCAGCTGGGGGTCTGTGGGCTCCTCTTCCTGGGCTCCCCGGATACTCAGAACTGTGAGAAGAGACAGAGGAGGGAGGGAACCATTAGCAATGCCCTGAGGATGAACACAAACAATAGCAACAGCTCAGCAGGCAGTGAAGGCCAGATTCTCCACTGAGGTAACTCGGCATAGCTCTAGCCACGTCGGTGGAGCCGTGCCGACTGACACTAGCTGGGGATCTGGCCCCCGACTTCAATGGAGCTATGCCCTATTTATGCTGACCTGGCCCTTGCTTGCAAATCCTTAGTGCGCCTCTAGCTCACCCGTTCAAACCCAGCCCGCTGGCAGTGACTCAACGCAATCACCAGCTCATGACTCTATACTGGCCCTGGCCTGAAGTGAGCTGGGGCCTGGAGCAGTTCCCAGCAGCCAGAGCCCACAGCACAACTGTCGCTGGTCGGCCCCCTAGTGACAGTCTCACTGGGAGAGTCTCAGCCTGGATGGGCCGCGGACTCTGCTCTCACCTCCGTGGCGCTCCCTCTGGAGTAGGGTGGGGCATGTTGGGAGACGCTGGCACTAGGTTGTCACCTTTCTAATGGCTGGTAACTGGACCCCCAAGGCCCAGCCCCCTGCCTTGCCTCTTCTCCCAAGGCCCCACCTCCTCTCCACCTCTTCCAGAGCCTCGAGGCTCTGGCCCCCAACCTGCCTCTTCCCAAGAGGCCCTGCTCCCTTCTCCGCCTCTTCCCCCCAAGCCCTGCCCCCACTTCACTTCTTCCCCCCCCAAGCCCCGCCCCTGTTGCTCCTCTGCCCCCTTCCCCCGTTGCTCGCTGGATCATCTCAAGGAGCCTGCCTGCAGGTAGTAGGCAGCCTCGGCTGAGCAGGGGCTGGCGCGGGTTAACGAGCTGGTGCCTCCCTCCACCCCACGGTAACCAGGCTTTTGGTTTGGGTGCGATTAAGGGTTGCCAGGTCTCCAAAAATCAGGCAGCTGGCAACCTTAAATGGCACCTGGACACAGAAGCCAAAAAACGGACTGTCCGGGTAAAAACCTGGATGGGTGGCAGCCCCAGCTCGCACTGCTACTTCCCATGCTGTCCCTTCCTCTGGGGGTAAATAGAGGGCTCCTGTCCCCAGGGCTGTCAACCAGACTCCTTTCACCAGCCCTCCTTAGAGTGGGCATGGCAAAGAGACCTCAGCACTGAGGATTGAACCAAGTTTTGTGGGACAGGAACCCTGCAGACAGGCCCCACTGGTGGCAGAAGTGCCAGGGCGAATGCCCCGATTGAGCCCATCCTTTCCAAGGCTCAAGAGCTGCCACCAGCTGGAGACAGAACGGGGAGAGAGCAGTCCCCATGTGCCCCACGGCTGTGGTCAGCAGAGAGATCTCCACTGGTGAGCTGCTGCTGGAGCTTAGAGCGTGGTGGCTAAGGGGCAAGGGGCTGCAGACACATTTCCTGCCGACGGTTCTTTGCCAGCACCTGCAGCCCCCATTTCAGGCGAGGGGAAACCCATCGGTGCACTGAGAGTTAACACTGCAGACACGACGCTTTAATAAATAGATCGTGAGTCCTGTGTGCGTCTGGCTGGCCCCGTGGGCTCTTGCCAGTTCTGGTTGTTTCCGCAGCCTTTGCAGGTCACCCCCATGAGGTTGTGACAGGGAAGGTAGATGTGAGGCCAATGCAAGGGGACATTTAGTTATTCGGGGCATCGTGTTCTCCACATGACCAGCCTGGGCTGCAGACTGTTTACACATGCTCCTCAATTACAATGGGAAGAAGAAGAGGTTTTGTTTTTGTCTTTTAAAGGGCATTATATTTTTAAAGGCAAATAAAAAACTAGAAATCACGAGACTAATTCATAACATGGCTTTGTATTTCCAAACAGCTGCACAAATATTAGCTCATTCACGGTGGAAATAATCATTCAACGAATATTAACTCTTGGTTACATTGGTTTCTTTTTCTTCCCTTAGGGGAAAATCCCAGAGGGCTAAAACCAACAGAAATTTAATAGTGAGCTATAAAAACCTAGAATTGTATAGGTGGGTTCACGGTGCTCTCCAGAAATGCAATCACTCTATTATATTCCAATCCATAGGGCTTTTCCCCGGGGTTGATTTCTACATATTGTTGTTCTGCGATCACATCTGACTCCAGAATCTGACCAAATGATTGCTCTGCTCTTTGTTCTCACAAGAAGAAAAATTAACAAGAACCAAAATCTTGTTCTCAGATCTGCACAGCGGATAAACTAGAGGCACTAACAGCAACTGTGCAAACCCAAATAAATACAAGCCTGCTTTACCTGATGCACTGGCTGTTGCACACACAGAGAATACAACAGGAGACAGAATCAGAGCAGGATTCCCAATTCTCTCATTTTTTATGACTGAAACAAAGGACACAAGGATTTGATTTCCCCAAAATGTGCTGAAATGCATCACAAACAGAAGGCAGATCTGAGAATAAGGCAGACGGCTGCAAGTCTGGAAACCTGGCTTCTGCTCTTAGCTCTTGCACACATTCCCCATGTGATCTTGCATGAGTCATTTCTGGCCTCATCCTACTCCCGTCGAAGTCTACAATAAAACCCATGTCGACTTCAGTGGGAGCTGGACGAAGCCCTCAGCCTTGATCCTGCAACAAGCAGGACCCCTGTGCAGAGCTCATTGCAGGATCAGAACCTTAAACTACTTGTGCCTCAGTTTCCCTGCCTTTAAAAAAGAGGGTTTTACAAGGCTTAACTGACATGTGCTTGGAGATCCTCTGGTGGAAGACAAAAGGAAAATTAATAATAATAAATAATAATAATAGTTTTATTATTTGGAAACGGATTTTTGTCATTCTTGGGACTTATTGAACTGTACTAAGCCAAGAGAGCAGCAATAACCATATTCTCACAAATTACTTGCCAAAGAGAGAATTTTCTAGTATTCTCACAGCTTCAATTCATGCTTTAAACACATATAAAATCACTCTCTTTCTTTGAGTGTTTTCCTAAAATCACTCTCTCGTTTTTTGAAATTAAAAATAAAAATTACAGCAAAAAAACAAAAAAACAGCACTTCACTGCTCCGGGCTCACTTTGCAAAAGTGGAGGCCCAGCCTGAGTTTGCAAAACCCTTGTGTGCGTATGCACTCTGCCAATGGGCAGCTGGGTAGCAAAATGGTAAATATGTACCAAGCAGCCTGCCTGAAAACTCCAGCTGAAGTGGAGGGAAGAAATGGGGCGGGGGGGAGGGAGGGGAAGGGGCAAACTGGCAATTTAAGATGCTGAATCCCCCTTTTTTTTTTTAAACCGACTATTTCAATTTTGTAAGCCTTGCTGGGAAGGGTAAGAAATGGCTGCATTTAGACAGAATCTGGACACAGTCAGGGATGCTAATAACAGATAGGAAGAACCAGTGCACTGAATTTCCATAGAGATTCTGTGGGGCAATATATACATATTATATGGCATAGCTGTGTGATGATCCATTGATTTTAATGGAGCTATGCTTGCTTATGTCTAAAATGAATCTGACCCATTATTCCTAGCCTTGTAATCTGCACTGCCAACCATCAGCAAATGGTTTTACTGTCAGTTTAAAAAAATAATCTAAAATTGGCTGCCAATAAAAAGTCGTAACAAGCCAGTGAAAATAACAAGAAACATATTTTTCCTTAATCTAGAATAAGTTTCTGAATGATACAATTACTATTAATAGAAACCAATTTTAAGTAAAAGGCTCAGCTGAGAATGAACATGAATAATAGGAGACTTAAAACCCCCCAAATGGCTTTGAAATCGTAATTTTCTGGACACAAATCCTTTTTAGTATTTTTCGTCCCTTTTGTGTTTGAAATTTTGTCAGTGAAAAGGGTTGAAATGTGCAAGTAAATTTGTTAGTAAAATAAAATAATAAATTACAAACAATTGCTAATTAACAATTATAATTTATATACTAGAGATGGGTTAAAGATACCAAATTTACATCTGGATCCCAGTTTCAAAGAGACAAGAATTCAAAAGAGTTGAGATCCAGAATTTTGGCCCAGGCCCCATCTCTCTTACATAGGTATTACTGTAAAGGTGTATGATGCTTTGCTAAAATCAACAGAAAGATTCTATAACTAACACGCACAAAGCAAGCCAACTGACAGACAGGACAAAAAGAAAACAAAACATCTCCTGAGATAGAGAGACGGTGGGGAAGGAAATCACAGCAGAAGATGTGGAGCACCGTCAATGAAACGTGTGTTGATTTGGGGTTGGTGAACCTTAATCCTAAACAAGAGAAAAGGCAAACGGCAGAACTTAAAAGGAGGAAAAGGAGGCAGGAGATGGGAAGGAGACGAAGATGACATGAATGGCAGAGAATAATCTCCTGTTCTTCCCAACAAAACTCAAAAGACAAATTGAAACAAAAATAAAAGGTGAAAACAAATACAAAATAGGGTTTCAAGCCAGACACACTTGTGATTAGGATTTCAAAAGAGAGATTTTTTATATTAATAATAAAAACTCACTGCCTAGTCAGGAGTGCATGTGTGATTAATTAGTCTGTGTGTGTGTGTGAGTTTTTTTTTTTAAAAGCGCTATATAGGTGCTTAGTAATATTACTGTATAATGTGAAACACACACACATTGTATTCTATTATATCTACATCTGCATATTTGTGTGAGTACACATTATATTACTATTACATTATAATTATATATGTTTAATGAGTGGAATCCAAAAATCAGCTGGGTGAGAAGGTGCTGGGATTTGCAGCAATTGTGCCTGTTTGGCTAGCCAGGTAGAATAACACTATTAAATAAATAAATGAAAAGGCCAATGTATCTAAGCAGACCTGATGCCACCTAGTTATTGCTTGAAGTCTGTGCTCTGGTGAGTAGGAGACAAAATGATTATTTAAAAGCTCCTTTATCTTCCCAGCACCGTATAAGACTCAAATGAACCGTCTGCCAGGACACCCGAGATGTTAACACTCATCCACCACGATCCAATTTCAAGCGGCAGAGCTGTTACCTAATCCAGCAACTATCACATATGATCAAGGCTCTGCTGAGCGGATTGGCCCTTTACC